AAACAATGGGATGGAATGGAAACTGGATAAAACAGGAAACAGTTTGGCAGTATTTCAAATATCTAGAACAAGAAAAAACTAATCAATAATTATCAGTATTGACTGATTAGAAATACCTACATTGTGGTACATTTTTATATCATCCAGCCCTGCAATTAAGTAAATTAATTTAGGAGAAGCTAAGTGCATTTCAAACATTTCAAAGGTAGCCAAAATGCTAATGTGCTAAATGGGAACTGCACTGCAAAAACACAAAATCTTACCAAGTATTTTTGTCTAGTTTCTAGTGCAAATATTTTGGTGCACTTAAAATTTTTAAATAGCTTATTAGTAACTTTTCAAAAAGAGACAGGAGGTTTTTTAAAATCAATAATTCCTTGGATCGACTTCCACTAGTAGATTTTTTTACTTGTAGCATGGAAAAAATGTCAGAATAATCTCCCAGTGGAACCAGTATTTTTTTTAAAAATCAATATTAAGGAAGAATGACTTCTCCAACTTGTGTATGTCTGCTGTGAAGAACCCAGATTATTGTTTTAATGTCTGATGACGCTCCATGTGGTGATCTGGATTTCCTGCAGATCTCCCTCAGGAATGATCGAGAGCACCCCTCACCTGTTTGGAAATGCCTGGAAGGTGTCGTCAGCCTGCTCCCTCAGCCTGAGCTCGCCTCCGCTCGACCCCTGTGACACCCACCAGCAGGCCGGTTCGTTTCTCTAGTTCATGTTTCTGTCGACTGAAGAGGTTAATCACACTAAATATCTGATTCTGTTTCAGCTTTGACCCATTTTCAGGGGTTAAATATAAATTTGGGAAATGCGACGCTTCATTACTTTACATTTCCCATCAGTTGTTCAGCTGATTTTATTAATACGTCGTTGTGATGGAATTTGTACCATTTTTAAATAATAATGTATGGGGGCCCTGAAATGCTGCCCTGGGTGGGAAAAAATCCAGATTTCTCAAATCTTCAAAAACTATTCGGTTACATGCTGTAATAATTCAACAACGCCTCCAGGTCTGAACCTTAAAACTTGTTTTAAGGTTCAGACCTTAAAA